GGTTTGGGGACCACAGGATCTCGTCTCTGCTTTTTGCAGATGACGTTGTCCTGTTGGCTCCATCAAACCAGGACCTCCGGCGTGCACTGGGGCGGTTTGCAGCCGAGTGTGAAGCTGCAAGCCGGGCGCACCCTTAGAGATAGGGTGAGGAGCTCGGCCACCCGGGAGGAGCTCAGAGTAGAACCGCTGTTCCTCCACATCAAGAGGAGCCAGCTGAGGTGACTCAGGCATCTGTTTCGGATGCCTCCTGGGCGCCTTCCTAGGGAGGTGTTCCAGGCATGTCCCACCGGGAGGAGGCCCCGGGGAAGACCCAGGACACACTGGAGGGACTATGTCTCTTGGCTGGCCTGGGAACGCCTCAGCATTCCCCCAGAGGAACTGGAGGAAGTGTCTGGAGAGAGGGAAGTCTGGGCATCTTTGCTTAGACTGCTGCCCCCGCGACCCGGTCCCGGATAAGCGGAAGAAAATGGATGGATGGATGGATGGTGATGGTGGAAAAAGGCAGCACTAGTCTTCTGATGTCATTAAATGTCAGCTAGAATCAGATGTTACCAAACCTGGAGTTCAATCAATCAAACAAGAATGGAGGTGTGGTTTAGAACTACACTGACTTATAGAAACCCTTAGGGTCATTTACAAGCAGCATCAGCTGATGTGAGCCATGCCTCGCAAAAAAGAGATCTCAGAAGATCAAAAGTTGATGATTTGTATGTAGCTGGAAAGGGTTACAGAGTCATCTCCAAGACTTTAGACATTCATCAGACATACAGTATTTTCTATAAATGGACATGATTTGGTGCTGTGGCTACTCTCCATAGAAGTGGGCGCCCAGCCAAGCTCACTCCAAAAGCACAATGCAGCTTAGTGAGGTAAAAAAGAACCCTAGAGTAACAGCTAAAGACATGAACATCTCTGTTCATGATTCAGCCATGTGCAACATATTGTATTTAACAGGCATGGTAACCATGGCAGGACATCATGAAGGAAGCCATTGCTCTCTAAAAACTACATTGCAGCATTCCTGACATTTGCCAAAGACCACCTTGACACACTGCACAACACTACCTACCTGTAGACAGATGAAAAGAAGTTAGAATTATCTGGGAAGAACACACAGCACTATGTATGGTGTAAAATGAGAACCACGTACCAACATGAAAACATCATCCCAACAGTGAAGTACGGTGGAGGGAGCATCATGATTTGGGGCTGCTTTGCTGCCTCTGAACCTGGACCACTTGCCATTGTGGAGGGGAAAATTAGTTCCCAAGTTTATCAAGGGATCCCACAGGATAATGTCAGGGTGGCTGTCTGCAAGGTGAAACTCAGAACAATCTGTGTGATGCAGCAGGACAATGACCCTAAACGCTGAAGTACAGAATGGCTTTGGAGACAACCTCTGCCTTTTGGGGTGGCCCAGTCAGAGCCCAGACCTCAACCCAATATTGATGCTGTGGAATGACCTCAAACACTATTCACCCCAGATGTCCTAAGAATATGGCTGAGCTAAAGCAGTTCAGTGAGGAAGACTGGTCCAGCATTCCTCCTGAATGTTCTGCAGGTCTAATCAGAGCTACAAGAAGCACTTGCTTGAGGTTATTGCTGCCAAAGGTGGTTCAACCAGTTATTAAAACAATGTTACCATTACTTTTTCCACAATCACTTTGTATGTTTAATGGGTGTGTTCAATAAAAATATGGCAGAACATATTTGATCAGTTTAGTATTTATTTAGTAAATGTTGTGTTTGTTGATATTTATTACTTGTGTGAAGATCAGATTACATTTCATGACCAATTTATACAGAAAACCAGGAAATTGCAAACTGTGTCAATACTTTTTCTTGTGACTGTATGTAACTTGCCAGTAACTGTCAGCAAAGATGTACTGAGTGTGTGCTCTTGTGCATATAGTTCATACATACTGTGGATGAAAATGGCTCTTTCTTGGCATCAACTCACTGAGAGCAATGAAAGTTATGTTTTGGTGGTGGAGTGGGTGGTGGTTGTCACAGCAGGGGCCAAAAGGCCCCACATAATGCTCATGCCCGGCCAGAACACAGCAGTTGTAGCAACCTGAGCAGGGACTGGCCGTTGTGATGGTAGCCAATGTTTATGTTACACAACAAATAGCCATCAAGCCAGTGGTAATGACAGTGCTGTAGAATGTAGGGCTGTACCAGGGGAATTCTATCTGAGTGGACAGAAAGAAGAGGAGGGTGTAAAAAATCTTGGTAGCTGGAGAAGTGGTCTAAGCTGCAGCTGGTGATAAGTGGGAAATAGCCTGCATGTAAATAAAATGAAGCTGTTTGACAAGGCAAGGTTTCAACTGCTAGCTACAATATGTTTGTGTGTCATGATAACAGTATGTTTGTGTATGATGATAAGCAATACGACATGCTTGAAAAGAAAAAGGGACATGGGTTGTATTGAAAGAGATATTTAGAGCCACATTAGGAAAAAGGTTTATCTGGCGATAATAAAAAAAACAAAAGAAAACCTTGAAGATTCACTGTAGAGTCAAGAGGCTGGAGAATATAATGTCAAATTAAGCATGTATAAAGTATTCAAAATTATATTATTTTTTTCTTGCTTAGAGTTAGACAGAGATGAAAGGCATACATGAAGAAAGTGCACTGATATTGTGGCATGCTTAACCGTACCCTGTAACATCCAGGGATTATGGACAGCCTGTTGGCTTGTTCCAATCATTCCCACATACCTGTTGATTAAATGAGGAATGGTACCTTGTGAGGGGAAATGACTGACACAGACTGACTGAGAGGGTGAGACAGAGAGAGAGAGGACTGGAAGGACCGGGGTGGGGGGGGGGGGTCAGGATTTGACTGGCTGAGTGATTGGAGATGGTGGGATTTTAAAACTGCTGTGTAGTGACGGAGATAGTGGGGCACACTGGGAGTGAGAGGTTTAAAATACCTTGTTGTTAGTTCAAGCATTTTTTCCAGCACAACGGGCAAGAGGCAGGGAGAGGGAGTTGGCACAAGAGTAGGAAAAGAGAGGGAGGGAGTTTACGTGTCTCCTGGGGAGAAGCGCACAGTCAATATCCAGGTCTCCAATAAACCTCTATGAGCCTCCTTTATAAAGTTGCTGTGCTACTGCATAGAGCCAATGCACAGAGGCAACGATATCAGCTTTAAGCCCAGTCTAGCCGAGAACGTACAGTTGATCTCCAGAATAAGACAATAGCTTGCAGTGACGTGAGCTGCTTGGAGTTTAAGTCCCTCTGCAGATGCTACAAATATTCAAGACAAAGTGAAGGGAGATCAACCAGCTGAGCAGAAAATGAGAGTAAGTACTGAACTCTATTCCTGTGATCAAACAAAAATTCTGCATTGTGCCCCACATAAATTATAGCCTTATGAGTTAAATTATCCATAGAATCATCATATTATGTATTTTGTGTATGACATTACAAATGTGTGTTTGCAGCTATATGAGAGATGAGATTCAGGCATGGTACAAATTGCATTGATGGATAATTTAATACAAAATTTCTCTGCTGTAAAGGTTTGATGGACAATGTTGCTGACAGGATTTTCAGCTTTTAATGTCAAGCATTTGCATTGCACTTTGCATATTTGGTAAATCATGTTAGCTCCAGCCAGGCGCTTATTGACATCTCAGTTCACTTGCTGCTTTATTCTAAATGTCATTAACTAGTAAAAGTTTAATTAAACATAACCTCAGCTTACAATGACATGGCAAAAAACCGGGATGCTTCTGATGCATCAAAGGGTTTAGATGCATCTGTAAAGATTTATGTGTCAGAGCCACTATCCAGGTCACAGTTTAAGTCTGTGACATGGGTGAAACTCCAGCTGCAAGCAGTTCTCAAAATATGATGAATTACAGAAGCAGAAAGTAATTAAGCACATTAACACAAGTACTCTACTTAAGTGCATTTTTGTGGTAACTGTTCATACCTCTGCTACATTTATTTGATAACTTTAGTTACTTCTCAGAATAAGATTAATAAAACAAAATACAGTAATTCAAATTACAAGTATATATGGTAGTTAAAAGTAGCTCCACCTTTACCAGCTGCAACACTAAATGTGGCACTAAATGTGGTGTATGCACCGCAATGTAATCCAATAATATAATATAGATTTAATGTGCAATTCTGCATAATGCTTGAGTAATGAGTACTTTTACTTTTGGTACTTCAACTATATTTTGATAGTAATATTTTTGTACTTTTCCTTAAAGCTACAGTATTAACTTTTTTTTTTGGAGAGGTGCTGTCGAAGCCTCCTGTGACCCAGACTCAGTGAACAGCACTTGCAGTAGTGCAGAGATATTAGCTTCTACAAGGTTTTGAGTGGGACTGACCTCTGTAACTAATCAGCTTGATCAATAAGTTTTGTTGCATTCGTACCAGACCACTCGAACTGGAGCAGGGAGAGGGAGCACTGGGTGGAGTAGAGTGGATTGAATTGGAGTTTAATGCTAGTGCTACCTTAAATTACATACTATAGCTTTAAGTAACATTTTGAATGCAGGATTTTTACTTGTAACAAAATATTTTTACACTGTGGTATTGCTAATTTTTCTTAAGCAAACAACCTGAATACTTTTTCCACCACTGGTGAATTCATTTCATTCTGGCATGAGTGGAATGGAGAGCAGCTGCAGAATGTAACAGTGTAATCGCCGTACCCCGTGTTAACAACTCTGCTGTATGAAACCCTGGCGAGATTTGAATTCAGGAACTTATCACTGTGCTTTGAATTCAAAACTGTAAAAAGGCAGAGACGAGTACACTCAGACAGTATATCTTTCTATCTTCCCATTACCCGTTCTTTCAGTGCCAAATATGAGTTGATTAATTGCTAAATACATTATTACCCCCCTTGTACCTCATGCAAAAGGTATTTGTGATATATTGATATTGAAACTAAAGAGATACATGAGATTTAAATTTGCAGAGTCCTTAATACCCAATAAGCTGTGTAGCAGTTTCAATTAACATGGCAGTATGCAGAGCCTTGGATTTAGTTCGGTGAAGTTATCTCTCACTAACATCAACACATGCTGTTCAGGCTGTGGATCTCCTGTCTTGTGATGCCACTGAACCAGTCATCATCTAAGCTAGACACTGAATATAGACTTGCATGTATGTTCTTCAGGCTGCAGCAGCTCAGGAACTTGATGAGCTATGCTTCCTGTCAGCACAGTCCATGCCCAGTCTGAAAGTATCCGAACACTTTCGGATGGTCAAGCTCCTGGGAGAGGGATCCTATGGAAAGGTCATGTTGGCTCTACACAGGAAGAGAGGTTAGTGGAAGACTTGAGGTTAAAGGTCATAACAGGTTGTACCTGTTACAATGTGAAATTTACAGCTAGACAAATGTGATTACACTTTGAAATTCCCTCAGCCTAATTGGAAACTGGTGAAATGGCAGCACATTTATCTCAAACTCAGGTTTCCTTCTAATGAGGAACCTACGCTTTTTGTGGGGTCAGCACTACAGTGATGGCATATCTGTCTTTTGATAGTGTTCATTTAACCTTTTGCATTTCTGCAGCTGTAATGAAGTGCATTAGGACATTCTCAGGGATAGAGTTGCTACAAGTGGTGCAGCTATGAAACAGAGTAGCTCCAAAAGAAAGTTATATTTGTTCATAGTGTCAGTGATAGGCAACATTAACATCAGTGTTGACAAGTTTTTTCACAAAATCTGACTAAAGATGATCTGATGCTGTAGTATTCAACATATTTCATCTTGCTTCATTCCTCCTAGGAACTCCTATGGCTCTGAAGTTCTTCCCTCGTCAGTCTACCTCGCTCACCTCCTTCCTGCGTGAATATAATCTGTCCCTTTCTTACTGCACCCATCCTTCTCTGACTCGGGCTCTTGGCATCTTCTTTTCCACACCATCCTATTATGTGTTTGCCCAGCAAGCTGGTCTGTATGGTGACCTCTACAGTGTAATAGTGTCAGAGGTCAGTTTGGCTGGTTTGTGGTATGAAATGTGTGTTTAAGTGTTTTACAGAACAAAAGCTTGCATAAATGTTAGGCTGGATTGCAACTGTCTCCTAATTTACTGGGACCATATTTCATTTGCTCTTGCACTACAATATTCACTTGTGGCAACTAAAACACTTCCTTTTAGGTTTGTTGTGGAACATGGAACCCTTACTGACAAAATAAAAAATGACTTAAAGTGGAAAACAGAAATCAGCATTTTATAGCACATTCTTCAATGAAAAATATGCTGCCTGAGAACATAATCCAGGCAATAAAATAAATAAGTAATAATTTAAAAGAGGCACGACTGTAGCCTAACATCTACATGAATCAAATACAACACTGTAACAGTCCATAATACCAAACTGCATGTTTGCACTGTAGCTTCCTCAAAAGGAATTTAATGGAAAATGTAACTGCTAATCAGGTCCTTTTGAGCTTTCATTTCTGGCTGCAAAAAAATTAAGGCATGCTTGATAACAGCCTCCTGCTCACCATGTTCCCTGCTTGTGTTACTGCCAGTAACATAATGTACTGTGGGTACAGAGTAGGGGCACCCTGTTTGTACTGAATGGAGACAGAGTGCATGAAGTAAAGCAGGAGTTTCCAAAAGCTTCATCAACTATTTCAGTGATGTAGATTTTGAAAGATGTTGAAAGTTTTTTGATGTTACGCTGTCACTGATCCAGGCTATCTCTATTTTAGGCTGGGGTGGATGAAGAGTGTGTCCAGAGGGTAATGGCTCAGCTGAGTGGTGCAGTGACGCACCTCCACTCCCTGGGCTTTGTCCACCGAGACATCAAACCTGAGAATATTTTCCTGTGTGACAGTTCATGTCGCTGGGTCAAACTAGGTGACTTTGGCCTTACCCGAGCCATCGGTTCCACAGTTCGAGGGGTCTGGTACGAGTCACCCTTCTGCACTCCTGAGGTGGAATCTGTAAAGGAGGCTGAGAAGGAGATGGAGAGGAGGCATTGTGATGGGACTGAAGAAGAGGTGGAGGACACATGGATCACAGTGGAGCCCTGTATTGACAGCTGGGCCCTTGGCATACTCATCTATTGCCTGCTGACCGGCTGCTTCCCCTGGGCGGAGAGCACCCTTGATGACAGTGGCTACAGTAGATATAAGGAATGGTTTGACATTGAGGCAGAGGAGAAGGAGAAGATCAGAGATAATGAGTGGAGGAGTGAGGAAGATAGTAACATTTACACAATCATGAATAAAAAACAAAGAGACAACCCTCTTCCTTCACAGTTTCAGGGCCTCAGCCCACTACTAATGACTCTTTTCAAGGAGCTGCTCCACCCTGAGCCCAAACACAGAGGAAGCCCAGAGGAGATCTTGAGCTACCTGGGAGGGCCATGGCTGATGGAGACACAGAGAGAGGAAAATAGGAAAGCAGAGGAGGCAGAGAAGGAGACCAGAAAAATAAGAGAAGGAGCAGGGTTGGAAGAAGAGCTGGTGAGAGAGGGAAGAGGGGAGAGATAAGCTTAGCCATTTTAATAAATTTAGCATTTATAACCACATGAACAACACCGCTGCAATCAGTCTTTGTGTATGAATATAGATTTTACTCTAGTGCAAATGTATAGACTATAAGATGATGTATTTTTCATGTTTTTTTTTAAATAAATATCTTTGCTAAAGTTATAATTTCCATTGTTGCATACTGCGTATTCCGGTGGTGTGTGTGTATAGTATAGATTTGTATATATGTGTGTCTTAATGAGAAGAGTCTATAAATAACACAAGAAACTGCTGTTCTCTGAAACCTTGAGTTGTATTATAATGGCTCTAAAATTTATATTTGAATTGTTGTCTAAATAAAGCAAACTCTGCTTACATGAACTTCTTGTGACATTTACACATACATACAAACCAAGTCAAGTCAGTTTTCAGTTTTCTTTATGTAGCGCAAAACTGCTCATTTGTCTTACATTACACTGTTATGGTACGATACAGTGCAATAAAAAAAGCATTGTTGAATGACATGTGACACAACTTGTTGTCTATTGTTAATACTTCACTGCAGTAAAACATTGTACTCTACAGACAAATCTCACTTCCACTCCCGTCTCTTACAGTATTGTATTTGAAACCCTGTCCAGCCTGACACAATCACTCAAGGTGCTCGGTGTTTCTTGACAAAAACATAAGTGTGTCAGACATGTTGTTAATCTTTTATAGCTTAAAAACAAACTTAAACTCATAAAGGATTTCAAACCTGTTGGTCATGAGGTTTTATTTGTTTATTTATGTGGCCAGTATTTAACCAGAAGAAAACTACTGAGGTTACAAGCATCTTTTATAAGGGTGCCCTGACTAAACAAACACATACAACACTAACTTACTGTAAGAATAAAATTAAAAACTTCACCATAAACCTAATAAACAAATAATGCTGCAGGAAAAAAGCCATTCATATTACTTTAATAGCTTGATAGGCCAGATAATAATACTCGTGTCCAGGAGTTGTCTGTTCATTTAATAATACCAAATACCATTGACCCCTGACCTTCTTGAAGAACTCAACAGCATGCAGCCCAGAACACCAGAAAAAAGAAATATTTATCAGTGACATACAGATATTTATAACTGTGGAAAACTGTAAAGTGATTGTGGATGTCAGTATGAGCTCTAAAAAGGGCAACCAGTGTTTTACTGGTTAGTTACATGTAAATGTTTGAATAAAGACTTTATTATTTATAAATAATAACCCAGAAAGGTACAGCTGTGGAAAGAAGTGACACTGTTGAAATAGTGAAGCAACAGGTGCTGCAGAACAGAAGAAGCACATCTAAAATTGGACTGAACAATACAACCTGATAGTGATACCAGCCTGAACTTCTTCCAACTTTATGTGTTGTAAGCTCCAGGACCTGCAGCAAGAGAGAAGTGAGCTTCACTCTCACATTCTGCATAAATGATTCTGAAGCTAAAATGACCTGTATTATAATATATTTGACTGCACTTTGGCATAAGATTGCGTCACTATTAGACATTAAAAAAAAACTCACATCTAAAGTGGATTTTTGGTGTTGTGGGTTTGACAGGTCAACCTTCATATTATTTGTGGGGACAGCTGTCCAACATCTGTCACAGAGGACACATTGAAACACCTGCATTCCTGTTACAGTGCCCCCCAGAAGAATGCACTTGTATTGCCTATGCCCACTTTTGCCACTACTGAATCATGCTATGCTGTTAGCTGTGTCTGCCACTGCAGAAAACTTAGCAGGATTTAAATCTTCACTACAACTTTTCTCAGTTTCCACCATAATTATTAAATGCAAAGAAATACACAACATACAAAAAAGCTTAACAGGATGCATGATACAGTATCTTATAGTTGTGTTTAATCAATTTTGGAAACAGGCTGCTAATGTGGAGTGTGTGTGTGTGTGTGTGCGCGTCAGTAGGGTCTGTGCAAACCACTGTTACTCTAAGGGCCACTCCAGATGGATTTATAAATAGACCCCAGGCCTATCTATTTACACACCATGCACATCATCACCTCTCCCGACTAACTGCACTCCACAGCCCAATGCAAAAGTCAGACTACCTTGGCCTCCACAGGCCTGTAGCAGCACAGTCTAGTGGAACACTGTGACCTGTCTTGCCCTTTAACTCCCTCTCCACTCGCTTTCATCTCACTTTTTTTTTATCTCTGCCCCCCTTGCTGACACAACCTTTTCCTTTCTCCTGTCATGCTACTTCAGCCTGGCCTCTCCCTTTCATTTCTGCTTCTGTGGTTGTTCTACTTTGTCTCGCTTTCATTCCCTCACTTTCTGGATCTCTGTATTCTTAGATCATTGTTAGGTAGGTAGGTAGTCCTTTATTGATCCCACAATGGGGAAATTCCTGTGTTGACATAAACCCAGAACTACTTCTTCAGCTGTGTCCCATAGCACAGAACGTTCAAGTTTTTTATATCTCCTTTAGTAAAGACTGGCTGGGATGTGTTGTTTTCTGGGAAACAGAGGAACAAAGCTCCTGTGACACTTGGCTGAGGAGTTTATGGAGGACCACAGTCAGACAAATGGAAACACATGGTGCGGACCACAGAGACAACAGAGTGCCAAAGACAAAGATGCTGATTGAGTTGCAAATCTGTTTGAGGTCCATGAGGACAGATAGCGTGGATATTGTAAACAGGAGAAACAAGGACAGCTATATTTGTCCTTGTAAAAGTCCACATGTAAGGGCAGGGGGATGCAGCTTGTTCTTGTACTTTAAGTACGTTAATGGGCCTTATGATTGTACTTCCAAGTCATACAAGACCTCTAAATGTTTGTGAAGATGAAAGACACAGGCCCTAATCTAGAAACTCAAGAAACTGCAATTTAGATTTGCAGTGTTATCCAGAGTCTGATTTCATGCAACCACTATTGATTGAAAGTCACTTTAAGACAAAAGTTTAAACTTTGGTAGGGTTCCTATTTACAGTATCTTCTAATTTTTACATCTTGTATTACAGTGGTTTTCAGAAGGCAGGTAAACAAAAGGTGCAAAGAGAATGAGCTGGAGAATGACATTAGCATATTTATATAATTTTGATGTACATGTATTGAGAATGATAGCTGCAAAAATAGCCAGAGTGGAGCAAATAAAAAATTATATGGCTAAATGTATGAAATGTATCCTCAGAAGGAAGCCAAAACTCATGGCCTAAAGTTTCCTTTGCTCCCCCAACTTTCTCTGTCATCTTGCTGCTTGTTAAAGTTTATCTACTTTAATGGCTTAAACAGGATGGAGAGGGATGGTGTTGATTTACTTGGCGAGCCGCCAATGATCACTTCTGCAAATCTCTGCAATGCTAGTTTATACAATGTCATTATTAAGCAATTACTAAAAACTGTTATGTACCAATATGAGTTGGTGCCCTGACTGTGTGTTTGTCATGCAGAGGATCCATAGTAGCACATGAGAAATGTATCAGTTGGTTGAAATGCAGGGAAGTAGTGAGGGGGTGAAAACATGCTCAGAGAGAGTGTCCATTTCAGAGCTGCCATTCCTCATGTGGTGCTGTCAAACCAATAAACAAGTTGAGAGATGATCATGCGGTTACTATCTGGCATGTTCATCTTTACTGTTCTGTTTTCTGTCTCCCCCACCACCTGACTCTTTTAATCTTCCTTTGTCTTTCTTCTCTTTTTTCATCTCTGTGCTGCTCAGCTGTACTTTCCCTTCATGCCGAAGTAGCATGGGCAGAGCAGCAGATTGTGTTCACAGGATTAATTGTCTTTCTTGGCTCCTCTCCTCCTCTCTTTTACTTACTCCGCCTCCAACTGTCAAGCTGTCATCATTCTCACCCAGGCGACCTTGTTAGGGCCACTCCACTGGCACTCACCCAGGAATTCTGTGTAGCCCCAATATGTTAAAAGGCTGATGTGTGTCTCCCTCATGAATAGGCCTAATGTGGGATGAGAGCCAGAGAGAGTTTTGTTGTCTGTGACTCCAGTGGCATGTGTTGCAATATTTATATTAGTGAAGTCCACGGAAGCCGATACAGAGTCAAGTTTCGCTCCCAGTGCAGCTGCAATGGTCTCAGAAAAGCATCTTTTCAACACAAGCAGCCTCTGAGACAAAGGGTCAGGAACTATGGCCTTTAAAGTAAGTTTCATCTTTGCATCAATAACTATTTGGGATATTTGAAGGTTAAACTTAAAAATGATATTCTTATGGTAATGTATTAAAATCCTTCACATTTCAATGGCTAAACACATTCAGAACAGAATTACACTCACTGGCCACTTTATTAGGTACATTTGTAAAATTGCATGCAATTCAATGCAACGCTTCCACCTTAACATCTGTGTTTATGAAGCTCAAAATATTTCATTTTTGGGGTAAATTGTCATAAATACTTAAATTCTATTATATGTTTATTATTGAGGTAATAGTTAAAGGTGGTGTCATGCTGGACTACATTATATTCAGAGGTGTTCCTAATATTTTGATCCTCTCATGTATGTAGCTGGGGAGGACAAAAATATAGAGAAACCTCTGAATATAATGATTATATATGATTGAATTGCATACAATTGTACAGATGTACCTAATACAGTGGCCAGTCAGTGTATATGGGAGTTAAGATGTTTGTGTTACTATTGAAGGTTTTTCATTTTGCAAGTGACTGTGCCACATCTATTTACAGTCTTATAAGGAATTGGACATGTTATAATTCATTAAACAATGGAGGAGAGAGTATCATGGATCACAGACTTTCTTGGGATCCATGTGGTGAAGCTGTCAACTGAACAAATATTTTGTAAAAGCTGTAATTCGGTTTTGAGCTAGATATTTCCTTGAAAGCAGCTGTTATTGAAATAAAATTTCAAATCCACTCAAAGGAATAAATCAAGAATAAACAAAACTAATCTTCCAAGGAGATTAGCATCAAATACGTTTAATAATCTTGTATTGGTGGTTTAACATCTTCATACTCATTCTCAAGAATGAGAACAAATGTATTCCTGTGGCAATCAATTAAAGTAGGGACGCAACTAATGATTATTTTCATTATTAATTAATATGACTCCTC